TGATTACTTCGGTATATCGAGATAAAATTATTATAGTCGGTTAGCCAAAAATCTTCGGCTTATCGTTTAACGCGAATCTACTAATTAATTTCGGCTTAGACTATAATAAATTTTTGGAAAATCAAAAAAACTTCGGCTTAATACAGCATATTTTCTTTAATTTATAAAAGCACACCTAATACTAAATATAAAGACAGTTCTTTGAATAAAAATATTGATAATGTAATGCACGTGTTTATTGCATTTGTACGACTAAATTTGAATTACAGTCGGGACCTCTTTACAGCTGTGGTGATGGTAGTGTGATTTTTTTTTAATAAGAATTCAGTTCCCAGCACCTGATCACCTTTCAAAAAAATTCTATAAAAGGAAATTGGCGGAAACGTATAAATTCACCGTCTCCAACATCATCAACTTTCGGTTGCAACACCCTTCCTACCGCAGTAATGCCCTAAAACTCACTCCCCTCCCGCAACCCTCCACTCCCTTCGGAAACAGCATCCACGTCCTCTAGACCCAGAAACAACCAGCAAAATGTCTCAAGAGAACACAGAAGTCGAGATTTCCTATCGGCCAAGTCTTTGGAAATGAGTGGATTCCTTCAAAAGGACATCTTTGTTAGAGTCGAGGACAGACAATGACGTAGTTTGAAATTGAATTTGGTTTACTAAAGGAAATGGAAATAGGTCCGTCTGGAAACTTACAGAACTCGATGGACGGAAAAATTAATCTCGCGCAGTAACTACAATACGAACCAAGTATCCGCCAAAGCTATCCTTCCTGAACAAGAACCTTGAAGTGAGCAATCAATTTACATGGAATTTGATGGAGTGTTGGTCAAGGATGACGGCCCTCCGGGTGGGAAAGCCTAGCGACGAAGAGATGCAACAGCCGACGATGCCTTCATATCCAAACGCGATAGGTGAAGAGCTTAGCAGATGCGCGTACAGCATTCTTGACTCGTCTGAAAGAGTCGACAGGCTTAAAGACTTGTCGTTAAAAGCTGCTGGTCACAATCTTGTACCATGTTTTCCAGAAACATAACGGTGGTTGACAGAAGCAGCCTGAAAAAGTATGCTAACAGATCAATGCTGGACTTCATACTACACATGGTTTCTTACACGATTACAATCTCAATGACGAACTCATGCAATTGCTTGTTCGACAAAAGAAAGAGCGTAAACAGAGAATTTATGATCCTCTTTCGCTCTTGAAGCTTGAAGTTGCAATAGGATAATAAGATCATAAAGAACTGGTCCAATTCACTGACGAAAATTGAAAACTTCCATCAGCTAATGGAGATAACGATGTCTCAATCTTCAATCGGGTTTTGTGAACGGGATTAAGATTGGATCCCTTTACGGTGATTTGGGACAAAATACTAATACCATCAGAAAGGAGTTTTCCACCAATGGAATATCAAGAACCAGAGCCATATACTGTGGAGGTCATATCAAAAAATTTACTGCTCAGCGACAATCTTGGACAAACAGCAAATGCTCACGTGGCACATGCGGATAAAGAAGCAGTAGCTGCTATGACGGAAACTGTTTGCGACTAGTATAGTTACCAGCTAGTGATGATGAAATCCTCAATCTGAGTAATCTGCCTTCGAAAACTCAAAAATAAAAATAAAATGAAATAAAATGAAACTCACTCAATTTGAGTAATCTTCAATGACAAATGTGAAAACGAAATCTATTATTGAGTCACTTGACTTCCTCAAATAGTATCATTGTTAAACCCCCCCCCCCCAAGAACAACATTTGCGTTATCGCGGAACATTAAAAAAAATCGCTTGCGCTGATATAAAAATAAAAAGAACTGAATTCCTCATCGATCACATTTTGTGAATTAAGTTCTAACCTTATTCTCTTTATTGCCGACTCTGATTCTATGTGAAAACAACTTTTAGTAAAGCGCAATCGAATAATGATAAATGTGCAACCGTCGTTAAGCTGGAGACCTTTCGTTTGGAGTCTTGGGTTCAAGGAAAAGTTTATTCGTCGCGATATGCTATCACGTAAGCAACCAAGAATGCAATCTGCAATTTTCGTGTTCCGAGTTCCTGATCCTCATTCTCATATCTCCCTCATTACATGCATTTGAGCATCCGTGTCCTGCTTTACTTCATCTTCATATACTTCATTATAATACAAGAAATCCCTAGCTACTGAGCTGCCATGGGATCTGTTATATCTGTGGTTCTACCGAAGGAAAAATCCGTTTGATATATCCAATTTATCCCAAGAATGTCGAAAGATTATTACTATATAAATAAGTTTATGAGAACGAGGAACAATTGTCGTTTACTGCGATGGGAAAATCAATATTTCATACTGCCCACATACTTCTCTTGTTCCTCATCCTTGTCATTACCCACACTCCTATTGTCAGTCTGGCGAGTTTTCGATATCAATTCCTGACGTCATAGCTTTGAGAATCTTGTTTCACAAGTAGGTAAGAAATATCGTTTGAAGAGCGTTTAGAAAACTTTTCAGGTGGATTATACCCTGAAGAAAGTCCATGCCTTCGAACATGATTCAGACGTAAAGTTGAGAAAAATTTCGACTCGCGTCCCGTTTAGCTGAATCAACAAGCACGTGTATCATTTACCAAGTTGTTATGACGTTTGCTTTATAGAAAAGAATATAACCTGGCAAATGAGGAATTCTGCAGAAAGACAGTATACTCTGCGCTCTAAGAACTATAAACATGGATAAGATATAATATCAGAGGTACATGAAAAATGACAGACTGGAAGATCAGATATTATTATTATATTTTATAACCATCATACGTTAACATACAGTATACTCACCCACACGATCTCCAAAAGCTCTACAACTTGCCGTTTCATCGTCTGAGTGGATCAAAAGTCTCGGCACATCCTAAACGCAATTTTCCAACTGTATGTGAGATGCCGTGATATTTTACAGTTTCTATACTTGTATATTATTATATTGTGTTGCTCACGTGTATTTATCTTGTTTGTTATCATCGAACCATTGAACGTCTTCCAAATAAAACAATGCTCGCGTAAGCGCACTCAATGGGCTGAACGTTCGTGTCTTGAAGAATGAGGAATTTTGTGCAATATGTAGAATCCGATGAAGAAGAAACGTCATGTATTAGGATGCCAGACAGGATATGCAGTATATTCTAGAATTGGATACAACTGGTAATGTAAAACTAGCTTTCTGGTGATTCATTAACAGATTCTGATCATACCTCTGGCTTATTACACGTAGAATCCCTTTGATCCGAGAGAATAGCCGATGTAGCCATATTCAATAGTCTTGATCGTGTGTTCGGAGAGTTGGATGAAGACTCGTCGGACTATCTTTCTTGGCATGAAATGAAGAAAAACCAGTGATGTTGGCGGCATAAAGGCGATCAGATTTTTCCATTGTGGCGGTGGATGTAAAGTTTGAAAATATTGAAGGGGGAGAGGCATTTATTTCTTTTGTCTCGGATGTGCCATCTTGCCTTTTTCTCGAGTTGTTGAAGTAGAGAGGTATGTCTCGCTTTCTTGGTCGGATTTAACTGTTAGTTTCTCAATTTTCGCTGTGTCGTTCTTCGCCTCACTCTCACCGGCATTGTTGTCATTCGTTTTTCTTTCATCTT